GCCGACATTAGCAGCGTCAGTGGTCTTTGCAATATGCAACTTTTTTTTGCACTGTTATTGTAAACAGCAGTTGAGCCTTTATCTTCAGGAGCTCGTAATTATTTAAGAGTGCCTTTGTTTCATTCTGTCGGCAGTGTTTTATCTTTGCAAAAAAAAAAAAAAAATTAGTAAACTGTTAGGAGGAGAAAATGTGTATCCTGTCCTCTAACAAAATTTAGATTAACCTTTTGAAAAACAAGAGTTTTACCGCACTAACTGTAACCAAGCAATGAATGTACTTAACCATTAAATCTGGGAGACTAAAGTACTTATGTCAATTAATTAAAAGAAAATGCATCTATTAACGATAGCGTTTATTATCTCCCTCGCTGGCGGGCTCACTCAAAGCAGTGACGCAGAAGGAACCCATTTGAATTCCTAAGTTACTACTGCGGTTGGAAGGGAATTGGAAGTTTATCGTATTTAATTTATGGTAAACCCTCTGCTAAAGAAGTCCCAACACAGGATTCGTAGAGTCCATGTGACAACCCCCCCCCAATCCCTTTCCTTCAGGTACAGAGCTAACCCAGGTCTGGGAAGGTAAAGAGGGAGGGAAGTGATGTCATATATGCCACGATGTCATCAAGCTAATGACACAAAGGATGACCTTATGGAAACACATAATTTACACTATCGATGTAATGTTTTCACGAGGCATGTGGCATCACTGCCGCTGGTACCAAATCAGGAGTGTCGGTGTTACAGTCTTGAGCATTGGCGAACTAAGCTGATTTATTTCTGTCTCAGTGGCAACCTGCTTCAAACTTAATTTATTTTTTTCTTTTGGTTGGGGCGAGGGAGGTGGTGAGATTTTTCCGGCTTAGTTTCCCATTGGAGAGATCCTTCCCTTCCCTTCCCTTCTTTCCCTTCCCTTCCCTTCCCTTCCCTTCCTCCTCCTTCTACTTCTTCCTTCCTTCTCATTCTCATTTCCCTCCCTCCCTCCCTCCCTCCCTCCTTCCTTCCTTCCTTCCTTCCTTTCTCCCTCCTTCCCTCCCTCCCTTCCTTCTCCTTCTCCTTCTCATTCTTATCTCCCTCTGTCCAGTGATGGGATTCAGCCAGTTCGCACCACTTCGGGAGAACCGGTTGTTAACTTTCTGAGCAGTTTGGCAAACTGGCTGTTGGAAGAAATCATTAGGGCAGAGAACCGGTTGTTAATTACTTGAATCCCACTACTGCCTCCCTCTCTCCCTCCCTCCTTCCTTCCTTCCCTCCTTCCTTCCTTCCTTCCTTCCTTCCTTCCTTCCTTCCTCCCTCCCTCCCTCCCTCCCTTCCTTCTCATTCTCATCTCCCTCCCTCCCTCCCTCTTCCTTCCTTTCTGCCTCCCTCCCTCCTTCCCTTCCTTCTCATTCTCATCTCCCTCCCTCCTTCCCTCCCTTCTCATTCTCATTCTCATTCTCCCTCCCTCCCTCCCTCCTTCCTTCCTCCGTCCCTCCCTCCCTCCCTCCCTTGTTTCTTCCTCCCTCCCTTCCTTCCTCCCCTTTAGCTCATGAACAACAGGTTCCATAAATGGAATACTAGTTTGATGACTTTGCAGGTTTCCCTGCCCCTATAACCCAGATAAACCCAAACAGTTAAAATTGATAGGAATTTAAGACCTAAAAGGTAACCTAAAAGATAAAAGGGGATACCAGGCCCTTCCTGGAGAAAACGGGCAGGAGAGGAAACTTTTGCCCTCGTTAAAAGTGTGCTGTGTTATATTCAGAGATTTGACTCTTTGAATACACTTTGGAAATGGTCTTTACAGTTTGATGCTAGTGAAATTGATTTATAAGCTAATTAGGTACAGGCTTAAGGAGAAGATTGATAGAACAGGGTATTACTTACTACATTTACATTCTACCTTTCATCAAGAGGAAAGGACAATGGCAAGAGCCACAGTGGTGCAGTGGTTAGAGTGGAATATTGCAGACTACGTCTGCTGACTGCCAGCTGCCTGCAATTTGGCAATTCGAATCTCACCAGGCTCAAGGTTGACTCAGCCTTCCGTCCTTCCGAGGTTGGTAAAATGAGGACCCAAATTGTTGGGGGCCATATGCTGACTCTGTGAACCGCTTAGAGGGGGCTGTAAAGCACTGTGAAGTGGCATATAAGTCTAAGTGCTACAGCTATATAGTCTACCCTGCAGATTTCCCCTAGTGTTAGGTAGGACTGAGGCAGGGAGAGAAGCTGGGGCCAAGCCATCAACTGCAAAAGGAATTAGAGACGACCTTGATAGGAAAGAACCATTAAGGAGAGAGTTGGAGAAACAATTCCGGAGGGTGAAGCAAAGGTAAGAAAGAAACTCAACAGAATCCCACCTCGATTCTGCTAGTTTCACTCGAAGAAGCTTTCAAGATTGATTCAGCTCTTCCACATTGGCCAGCTCAAAAAAATAGGCACGGTAGGGAGTCCAAGAATGCTAATTATTGTAATAGAACAGCGATTCTTGACCTCAACACCTTTAAATCCCAAAATCCCCCATGCCGGCTTGGGGGGATTCTGGGAGTTAAAAGTCCACCCATCTTAAGATTGCTGAGGTTGAGAAATAGTGCTCTATCTAAAAGTTGGGCTGGCTCCGTTAAGAATGGAGAATCATGACAAATGAGAAGTAGAGTAAATGTAGTATCTTCTCCTGGGAATTTTTCTTCTTCTAGCACAGGGGTCTCCAAACTTGGCAGCTTTAAGACTTGTGGACTTCAACTCCCAGAATTCTAAATAGCTGGCTGAGGAATTCTGAGAGTTGAAGTCCACAAGTCTTAGTGGACTTGGACACCCCTGTTCTAGCACTAACAAATTTCTTATGCTAGGAACTATCCCCTTTTCCTATGTTATCCATACCAGTAGACCATGGGTCCTCAAACTACGGCCCGCGGGCCACCGAAACCATTAATCCAGCCCGCATAGGACCACGAGGCTGCCCCATCCACATTGCCCCACCCACCCTTTGGCCGAGTGCAGGACTTACCCTCGCTAGGCCCACGGGCTGGAATTGAAAGGTAAGGCCAACAATTTTGGCCTGCAGAGATGTTCTGGGGGTGGGGGAGGTGAAAAATGGGGTGCACAGATGCCCAGGAGGCCAAAAAACGGGCAAAAACAGCCTGTTTTTCACCTCCCCTGCCTCCAGAAGATAGATAAAGAGAGATAGATGAACACAGAGAGAAAGAAAGAGAGGGAGAGGGAGAGAAAGAGAGAGAGAGAGAGAAACAGAGGGAGAGGGAGAGACAGAAAGAAAGAGAGGGAGAGTGAAAAAGAAAGAAGGAGAGACAGAGAGTGAGAGAGAAAGAGAGGGAGAGACAGAAAGAGGGATAGACAGAGAGAGACAGAGACAGAGGGAGAGAGGGAGAGACAGAAAGAGAGAGAGAGAGAGACGGAGAGGGAGAGGGAAAGTTTGAGGACCCCTGCAAAAGACATTCGTGGTATCTCAGTCTGGGGAAGTACACCAGGGGAAACTCCCTCTCTCTTATCTTGCTTTTTTCTCTCAAGAACTAATTGGATCTGGGACAAGCAAACATCCGTATTAGCCTAAAACAATCCCTTTCCACAAATTAAATATTAACCTTGATCACTAGAAGAGGAAGAAAAAAATCAATTAGAGGGAAATAGAGTAAAATGAGAAGGATGGGTTTGCATTTCATCAAATGATAATCAGACAATCGAATAGCATTATCTCCATTATCTGCTTATCGTCTGATTGCAGATATGTTCAGATTTTCTTTCTCCGGTTTTCTAAATGTTTTTTAAAAATGTTCCTTGAACAAGACGATTCTGGATCTTAAAACTAAAAAAGGGTCTTTTTTAATCTTTTTTTTTTTTTTTGCCTTACTCTGTTACTTCGGTGGATATACAGATGTGCCTAGAAGAAATCATAGTGGTGAAATTTGGCTTCTGGCAAGAAATTTAGGATAGGAAAGATGGTCCCTAGGTTGAATATAGATTTAAAAGCTGCCTAACTGTTCTACCCAGGTCAATGTAGACTTCTGAATTTGTCTAGTTTTTAGCACAAACTTAGCAGGATCATTGGAGTGGGTGGATGTGTCGCTCAGCAGTAGAAAACATTTTATATCATGTGGAAATTCCCAGATTCGGATGATTTGAAACCCCTAGACATTCACACAGTGCTGCATAGATGAATGGCTTGTGTTAATGGTTGGATTTGTAAAAAGTAAAGGTTCCCCTTGCACATATGTGCTAGTCGTTCCCGACTCTAGGGGGCGGTGCTCATCTCCGTTTCAAAGCCGAAGAGCCAGCGCTGTCCGAAGACGTCTCCGTGGTCATGTGGCCGGCATGACTCAACACCAAAGGCGCACGGAACGCTGTTACCTTCCCCCAGAAGTGGTCCCTATTTTTTCTACTTTCATTTTTTACGTGCTTTCGAACTGCTAGGTTGGCAGAAGCTGGGACAAGTAACGGGAGCTCACCCCATTACACGGCACTAGGGATTCGAACCGCTGAACTGCCGACCTTTCGATCGACAAGCTCAGCGTCTTAGCCGCTGATTTGTACTGGATTTGTACATCATACTATATACCCAAGTTTAATTTAAACAAAGTTTAAAATAAGCACTTTGGCTGGTTCACACACTACTAAGCTCTAAGTTTACCATCTACAAGAGCTGAGGTGCACGAAATCGAAGCCTGATGTTATGAGTAAACTATCTGGTTTAGCTTCGAGTATGAGACCCACCTGAAAGAGATTGGAAGCTGGGATTGCTGTGTCAAATGACCAGAGGACTTAACTCATTCTTGCTTTCCTCTTAGTTCAAGTCATGTATAGACTCGTAGGGATAAATGAATGGCGAGAGAGTGTTTTATGGACATGCTTGGGAGAAGGATCATATATACCATCCATGCACTCAATCTTTGTCTAGCAAGCAAAGAAGTTCTGGGATTGAGCAGGGCTGCCTTAAACAGAGATCCTAGCTGTGCCAATTTGAAAATACCTATCTCCTACCTCCATCCCCCTCTTGCCCCATTGGTACCCACCTTGGTGTAACAGCACGTGATGAGCACCAGCGGTAGTAGATAACCCACCACGAAGATGGTCACCTTGTACATCTGCTTGGCTCCCGGATTGCCAGGCCAGTGTTCCCAGCAGAAAGAGCTGTTGGGTGCCTGCTGGTGCCCATTTAAAAGTTCCTGGTGCTCGGCCACGGGGATGGCAAAGAGGAGAGAGAGGAACCAGATGATGCCCACCCCAAGAGTGGCATTGCGCTTGCTTCGAATGCACAGGGAGCGCTTAGCATGGACCACAGCGATGTAGCGGTCCACCGACATGGCCACCAAGGTGAAGATGCTAACGAGCATGGTGGCCATGACGAGGTAGTGCACCCACTTACAGAAAAAGGCACCAAAGATCCACTCTGGCAAGGAGTAAATGGTGGCCTGGAATGGGACACAGAAGAGAAGGAAGGAGAAGTCCGCAATGCTCAAGTTGAGGATGAAGATGTTGGTGGCACTGCGGGATGGACGTCCACCTGGTGGGAGACGTCCAAGTACCACCAGCACCAGTGTGTTCCCCACCATGCCCAGTAGAAAGATCAGTCCAAACAGCACGGGGATAATTACTGTCTCTGGTCCACCTCCTGTCATGCTTGGCCAACAAGTAGAAGCATTGGCTTGCTTGAAAACCATATCAGTGGTGCAAAAGGTGACATTGGTTGCTACCTCCTCCATGGGGGCTCTTTTGAGGGGATGGCCCCACTTTGGGGGGATGTTTCCCGGGAAATAATGGATCTGTATGTTTTGCCTATAAGTTGTAGAAGTTCTTGATCAAAGCTTCTTCCCCTGCCTGGATGGAAATCTTGATGGGTTCTATATGCTTGGTCTGACTTCAAAGATCTTCTTCATGGTGATCAGTAAAAAGCATTTCATTCAAAAGTCCCAGCAGTTGATTGGGCATCTTGAAGACTTTGCTTTCCTTTGGTGGTTGCCAAGATCGTCAACTGGAGTCTCCGTTCATCAACCCTTGGAGATAAAGAGAGGGCTGCTGCTTCCAGCAATGCTGCCGAGAAAGCTAGTGAGTGAGCTGGACGGAGAGCAGCTGGCTCAGCTTTCCAGCTCCTCCTCTTTTCACTCTGTAGCTTGAGGGAGGGGAGAGGACTCTTACTAAGCAAACACAACACAAGGTATGAGTTTTCACACGAGATGCTTGAAAGTATTGTTTTCTCCCCGTGCTTCCCGGTCTCTGGTGCAAATCAAAACCAGAAGACACTGCTAAAACTTGGTTCTGCACTGCTATGTGCATCCTGCCCCAACCTGCTTGTTTAGTAGACTTCAAGGAAGGTGGGGTTGCCCAGATCCTGAAAGCCTTGTGATCCTGCAACTCAATTCACACATGAACCCAAATGTGGTTTAGATCGGGGGTCTCCAACCTTAACAACTTTAAGACCAGAATTGGGAGTTGAAGTCCACAAGTCTTAAAGTTGCCAAGGTTGGATGGAGACTCCTGGTTTAGATGACCTTGGCTTGGTGTGCAGTTACAATTCAACGGTCACTTTTTGGAAGGGGACAAGATGACCCTGAAGTCTGTGGGAGACTCAGCCCATCCTAGAGATGTGCTCCTCTAGGTTAAGACATATAAACTGAACATGCTCAAAAGCTCCTCTCGAGTCAGCTTGTTGTAAGGATTTGTTTGATGGCTTTATCAAACTGGTGGCCTCTAACGAGGAAGTTGATAGGGAGATGCTGTGGAAAAACAGTTCAACTAGCAGACGATAATTACTGCAGGGGACTAAAATCTGTCTTTTTCATTTAGTAGACAAGAAGTGTTTGCAAGCTGGCGATGGAATAATGACTGCTAGAGAAAGATGCCACCTTAAGGGAAAGCGTTATGTCTCAGCCTGCTTTGATCCTCAATAAAAGGTAAAGGTTCCCCTTGCACATATGTGCTAGTTGTTCCCAACTCTAGGGGGCAGTGCTCATCTCCGTTTCAAAGCCGAAGAGCCAGCACTGTCCGAAGACATCTCTATGGTCATGTGGCCGGCATGACTAAACGCCAAAGGCGCACGGAACGCTGTGACCTTCCCCCCAAAGGTGGTCTCTATTTTTCTACTTTCATTTTTTACGTGCTTTCGAACTGCTAGGTTGGCAGGAGCTGGGAGAAGTCACGGGAGCTCACCCTGTTACCCGGCACTGGGGATTCGAACCACTGAACTGCCGACGCTTTTGATCAACAAGCTCAGTGTCTTAGCCACTGAGCCACCACGTCCCTGTTTGATCCTCAATATGTATCTGTTAATAAGCTGGCCTCGTACAAGCCTTCCATGTCGCAAGAGTTCTACCTTTTCCTAAGGGAAACAGCTTTGGGAGAAAGTGACTTTTGAAAACCTCTCTTCAACCATGAAAGCAGAGAGTCTGAAATGATGTCAAGACTACTGGTAGCTTTTTCTCCTGACTGGGAACAACCACATGGGAACAACCAGTTAAGGCATCTAAGGCACTGAGGGAGAGTCAGACCTAACCCTCTTGTGCCTATGTAGCAAGTCCTACCTAATTCCACATTTGACCCCCTCCTGCCAACCAGGATGGTTACTCTCCAGCTGATTGGCTGCAGTCCCCAAGGCTCAGTGGCTAAGACACTGAGCTTGTCGATCAGAAAGGTCGGCAGTTCAAGGGTTCGAATCCCTAGTACAGGTCCCCTGTGTGAGCAGGGGGTTGGATTAGATGACCTCCAAGGTCCCTTCCAACTCTGTTACTGTTAAACACCCAAGGCTGTATACTAGATCAGTGGGAACAGAGCAGTGGTGAAATCTAAAATTTGTTACTGCCGGTTCTGTGGGTGTGGCTTGGTGGGGCGGGGTAATGTGACGGTGGGCGTGGCCAATTTTTTTTTTAACTTTTAAAAGCATTTTTTCTACAACCTCTTCGGCGAATGGGTTGTTAAAAAATGCTTTCAAAAGGCTCTCACGATCCCAGCTGAGTTGCCTGATCAGCAGAGGCTTTTTTTTTACTTTTAAATGCCTCTGATGATCAGGCAACTCAGCTTGGATCGTCAGAGGCATTTAAAAGAAAAAAAGGGTTTTTTTCTTTTAAAAGCCTTTGACGATCCCAGCTGAGCCGCACGATCATCAGAGGCTTTTTTTTTTTTTTACTTTTAAAAGCATTTTTTTGGCTGAAGAGGTTGTAGAAAAAATGCTTTTAAAAGTAAAAAAAAAGCCTCTGATGATTGTGTGGCTCAGCTGGGCATGGGGGGGCAGGCAGGGATTTTTGCTACCGGTTCTCCGAACCACCCACCTCCATCACTACCGGATCGGGCGATCTGGTCCGAACCGGGAGCATTTCACCCCTGGAACAGAGGCTGTTGAGATCAGGAAGTCTTGTAAATACTTCCTGGGATGGTTGGGAGAACAGGCCCAACAGAGACTCCACTTCCTCAGTTCCACGGTGTGATATGCCGGCCTGACAGCCGAGGATAGAAAAACATTACAGAGTGGGATGAGCCCAGCACAAAACATTGTGTGTTGTCCCCTGATACCACTAGATGAGATTCCTAGGGCTCGCTGCCTTAGAAGAGTGAGGAAAATCCTCAGGGAAAAACTCACACCCTGGTCATCTGAAAGGAGATATAGAAGCATAAGCAGCTGCACAAACAGGCTGAAGAACAGTTTTTATCCGTGAGCTGTCAGACTCCTGAATGGAAAATAACTTTACAACAACATAGTATGATGGACTTGCGGGGCCGGTGCAATGTGCAATAAGTTCATACGATGCAATAGGATTGTGTGTTTGTTAGTCGGATTCACTGGGTTACGGATTTTTCTTTTACTGTCTTTCACTGTGAGTTGTATTGGGTTGGGGAGAATTGCACGAAGGGTGCACAAATTTCTTGCCAGAAGCCAATCTCATTGTACACATGTTGTACTCTGACAATAAAGATTTGAATTTGAATGAATTTCTGGGACGATGGAAGATGTCAGCAATGAGCCCACTTCCTTAAAGGTGCCCCTTGACTTGATTAGCATAATAATGGTTTGCCAAATCCAATGGCCAAGTATGCAGGGAGTGATTAAAGTATTTTATGCGAATTCCGATGTCTGAAAGGATTATTTCTTGAGTTTCTTTTCCCTTATATGTGGCAAAACATAAGCTACCCTGGAGCAGATCAAGAGTTCGTTTTTAATTTCCATCACTCCGCAAAACTCAGAAGCGAATGTTTTCTTTTGATTCTCTCCCTGAACGATTCCTTCTGATACAAGAAACAACACTAAAACGATAGTCATTTTTTCTGCCAGCTCGTTGATAGCAGAAGCATTGCAGACTAATTTCATGGACGAGGTAGCATCTAACAGTTCAAACCTACACATGCATCTGCTTGGAAGCGAGATTTTTGGAGGATTAATCCCAAGTGGTTTGGCTCAAGGAGTCAGCCTTCCTTCTCCATCTTCAGTGTTTTTTGATTTGGAACCGGGGCAGAAGGCTAATAGACGAAGTTTGGAAGAAAGGCTTTTGAGACATGTTGCTTTGCATTATATTCGGTCCTGTCAAAAAGAAAAGAAATGGAAGAGTATTATAAGGAAAAACAAAACGGCGAATGGATTGTAAGGGGGTTGTTAGGTCATTGTCTTCCTATCTACTAGAGAAGGATGCTTCGGTACAGATTTTGAGCAGGCACCAAATCAAAGAAATCCAGAGATGGTGCAGGGATGTCCATGAGGAGAGGGTCAAAAAGTCAAGGTGGAAGTTCTGACTAGAAGATGAATGGAATGGAATGGAATAGGAATAGGAATAGAATAGTTGGAAGCAGTGGTGAAATCCACATTTTTTTACTACCGGTTCTGTGGGCGTGGCTTGGTGGGCGTGGCATGGTGTGACTTGGTGGGCGTGGCAGGGGACGGATACTGCAAAATTCCCATTCCCTCCCCATTCCTGGGGGAAGGATATTGCAAAATCTCCATTCCCACCCCACTCTGGGGCCAGCCCACTCTGGGGCCAGCATTTGCCGGTTCTTCGAACTACTCAAAATTTCCGCCACCGGTTCTCCGAACTACTCAAAATTTCTACTACTGGTTCTCCAGAACCTGCTGGATTTCACCCCTGGTTGGAAGGGACTTTGGAGGTCTTCTAGTCTAACCACCTGCTCAGGCAGGAAACCCTATACCATTTCAACAAATGGTTGTCCAATCTCTTCTTTAAAACTTCCAGTGTTTGGAGCATTCACAACTTCTGGAGGCAAGTTGTTCCACTGATTAAGTTGCTTCTCTCCTTGATTAGTTTCCACCCATTGCTTCTTGTCTTGCCTTCAGGTGCTTTGGAGAATAGCTTGACTCCCTCTTCTTTGGGGCAGCCCCTGAGATATTAGAACACTGTTATCATATCACCCCTAGTCCTTCTTTCCATTAAACTAGGCATACCCGAATCAAAGCTTCATCTCTCTCTCTCTCTCTCTCTCTTTTACTCAACATACACTAAAAATTAACAGTTCTTTGATCCTATAGTTCTGGCCACCATCTTGACTATTTGATGCACACACACAAATCCAGTAGACACCCTTGGCTCGTGTTACTATTGGACCTGCGATTATTACAACCTGCATGAGCCGTTCTTGGGCATCTAAATAAATATATTGGCAGTTATTTATTTATTATATTTATTTAGATACAAGTGAAGTCTGCAAGCCAGATTGTAGAGCTGGGTGATCAGGATACCAACCAGCTAGTAAGAAAAAAAACCCATACTCCATCATTCTTATTCTTCTTTTCATTTTCATTTTATTCTTTTTATTTGATTCCTTCTTTTGCAAACTTTGTCTTTCTCCATCTTTTTCAACACTTCCCACTTGTATACTTTTGGTTTGAATGTCAAAGAGAGGGAACGTTCTCTTCCACCTTCCACCTTCAGCCTTCAAGCTTGGAGTAAAAATAATTAAAGACTGTGCCACAAAAATCACAATGCATGAAATACAAATGAGGGCAAACTATCTGACAACCAAATCCAGAAGTCATTTGAATGTTTCACAGCAGCAAGAGAAAGATGCTTGTTCCAAGTCCGTAACATGGCAAACAATCTTTATTGAGGGAGCACCAGCGCTTTTATAAACCTGTTCAGGCTTCAAGCTCAGGATCAAAAGCATTATGTTTTAGAATCAGTTGGTGCAGTCTAAGGACATCACCATGACATTATCAGCAACCATAACAAAGCAACCAGATCTTAGTAGAAAAAATTGAGATATTCACTAGATGACAAAAAAAGGACATGAACTTTCTGTATTTCTTGGTGGCCTTCTAGTGGCTTTCTTTCTTTCTTTCTTTCTTTCTTTCTTTCTTTCTTTCTTTCTTTCTTCCTTCCTTCCTTCCTTCCTTCCTTCCTTTCTTCCTTCCTTCCTTCCTTCCTTCTTTCCTTCCTTCCTTCCTTCTTGCTTCGTTCCCTTCCCTTTCTTTTCCTTCCTTCCTTCTTCCTTCCTTCCTCCTTCCCTTCCTTCCTTCTTTCCATCTTCCTTCCTTCCTTCCTTTCTCTTCCTGTTCCTTTCTTTTCCTTCCTTCCTTCCTTCTTCCTTCCTCCTTTCCTTCCTTCTTTCCTTCTTCCTTCCTTCCTTCCTTTCTCTTCCTGTTCCTTTCTTTTCCTTCCTTCCTTCCTTCTTCCTTCCTCCTTTCCTTCCTTCCTTCCTTCCCTTCCCTTTCTTTTGCTTCCTTCCTTCCTCCTTTCCTTTCCTTCCTTCCTTCCTCCCTCCCTCCCTCCCTCCCTTCCCTTCCCTTTCTTTTCCTTCCTTCCTTCTTCCTTCCTTCCTCCTTTCCTTCCTTCTTTCCTTCTTCCTTCCTTCCTTCCTTTCTCTTCCTGTTCCTTTCTTTTCCTTCCTTCCTTCCTTCCTTCCTTCCTTCCTTCCCTTCCCTTTCTTTTGCTTCCTTCCTTCCTCCTTTCCTTTCCTT